GTCGTTGACGCCTCAACGTCTCGTTGGCAGCTGGTATCGAGCGGGTCCCCGGGTCGGTCCTGGGCCGGCCGTGTTCAATGTCTTCGTCAGCGACCTGGGAGGCGGGGTGCGGTGCGGTGCACCCTCGCCAAGTGTGCGGGTGACGCCGCGCTGGGCGAGTGCTGGATACGCCGGGGGCGGGGCTAGGAGCCAGAGAGACTTCGACCAAGTGGAGGAGTGGGTTAGGAGAAATGCCACGAGGCTCAGCAAGGACACGTGCAAAGTGCTGCACCGAGGAGGAGCGATCCCCTGCCCCGGGGCAGGCGGGGGGACGGGCTGGGCGGCAGCTCTGCACAAAAGGGCCTGGGGGGACAGGGGACAAGAAGCTGGACAGGAGCCAGCAGTGTGCCCTTGTGCCAGGAAGGCGACCGGCATCCTGGGCTGCATGGGTAGAAGCAGTGCTGGCAGATGGAGGGCAGTGATTCTTCCCCTCTGTTCAGCACGGGGGAGGCCACATCTGGAGTCCGGTGTCCAGCTGTGGCCCCCACGACAGAAAGGGTGGGGACATGGGGAGAGTCCAATGGAGGGCAGTGAAAGTGGTTGTGGGCTGGGGCACAGGACTGGTGAGGAGCGGCTGAGGGAACTGGGCTGATTTAGTCTGCAGAAGAGAAGACCGAGGGGGATTGAATAGCAGCCTTCACCTCCCTGCCAGGGGGGCTGCAAAGAGGATGGAGCTGGGCCGTTCTCAGTGGGGGCAGATGGCAGGACAAGGAGCAATGGGCTCGAGCTGCAGCAAGGGAAGTTGAGGTTGGATATGAGGAAAAACTCTCTCACGAGGAGGGTGGTGAAGCACTGGGACAGGCTCCCCAGAGAGGTGGTGCAGTCTCCATCCTTGGAGGTTTTCAAGACCTGACTAGACGAAGCCTTGTGTGGGATGATGGAGTTGGGGCTGGTCTTGCTTGGAGCAGGGGTTGGACTAGATGTGACCTGAGGTCCCTTCCCACCCTCGTTGTCTGTGATTACAAGGGCCATGGGGCGCTGCACAACACAAGGACACTGCAGCTTGCAGGCACCCGTGCATGATCCCTGAGACAGAGCAGAGATTGCAGTCAGGATCCAGAGCCTCCAAACTGAGGGGAAGAGGAGTTTCCGGGGGGTTGGCTGTGTGGCGGGCCAGTAGGGGGAGCTCCTGCATTGATCCTCCCACCTCACCACGCCCGTCCACCTTCCAGACTCCACGTGTCTCTCCAGGGGCGCCTAAGCCCTGGCAGACCCCCTTTCAAGCCCCGCTGCTGAGTCCAGGGGTAACGTGTGCTGCCACCACCCCGAGAAGGGACTGTCTGGGCCCTGTGTCCTCGGGGAAACATAGGCCTAATAGTCCTACGGGTACTTGACCCAGTACAAGAACTTGGGGCACTTCCCCAAGTCGGGGGCCAAAAAGGATGGTCTCCCTTAGTCCGCAGACCCAAGGGGCCTCCTAGGCATAATTAAACCCACTCTTCAATAAGTCTCCCATGCCAGTCCCTCCCAAAGGAGAAGTGTATTGGTTACAGAGGGTAGGGTTAGAATAGGGTACAGGGTGTGCGGGCCGGGAGCGACCCAAGCCCTTTTCGTGCTGCACGCGGGCTGTGGCCAGCAGCCCGGGCACGCCGGGGTGGAGAGGGAAGGCCTTCGAGCTGGAATTAGGCACGGATGCGTAGCGGTAGTTTAAAAGATTGTTTACTTACACCGAGATGGCAGTGGTGTAGGCTGGAAAGCTTGCTTAAGTTGCGGTTATAGACAAACAACACAGACGGTCTCGTGGAGGTTGCTAGGCTCCACGGTGCAGAGCTCCGGATGCTCTGGGTGAACAAGCCACCAAAATGAGAATCGTAGATACGTCTTATAAGAGTCGCTCTCGAAGACGGGAAGAGGTGGGCAGTGGATCAGGTCGCCATGCTCCTCTGGATCTCACACAGGGTCTCTATTACCCTGCCGTGTACCCAGAGTCCCCGAGATGGATGTGGAGTCCTCTTCAGCTTGGGCGGAAACTGCTCAAGCCTCTTATACGGCTAACAAGCCAATCGTTAGC